TCGATATAGAGTGGTTTGGCCAAAAGATAATCATAAAACATCCATCTAGGTTTTACATTTTTTATTTTATTTTGGCGTAACTGAGTTTATATAAGCGGTAAGATAAAGTCGGATAGTGTTCTTGCTTTGTTGTTAACGTAAAACTTTTACAAGAATGAAACACAGCTCTGATGATGTCCACCATTTGATGGACGAAAACTCAGCAGTTTTTCACCCGAAACGAGGGAGGAAGTCCCGTGGACTGCGTCAACATGAAGATAGTATTAAAGCCAAACAGCTGCAGTACAACGAGATTCATCCGTCCTCATCTGGTGAGATCGACCAACGAATCTCTTCTTCATTCACTTTCATACGAAATGAAGGTGCCCCCCTAATAATTTCACTTGGTCGCTATTTCCCACTAAATTTCAGTCAATCCCTCCTCACCGTAGCCGACGTAGGGCGACTAAAACTTTGTGAAAATATTAATATATATAAATATAAATATATATATATATATATATATAATGTACAATTAGTATATATGCTTCAAAACTATCATTAGATTTGGAGTAAAAACTTTAGTCATTGTCGGTCTCTTACGATGAGGTATGGCTGACGGTTGAAATCAATTTCAATTAATTTCACTAGGCTCTGCCTCAAAAAAAATGATTTCTCGTCCCGACTGAATAACAGTTTTCATCAACAGCCCCGAAAGAATTCGAGCTCGGCTCGTGTATGTCGAGTGGTAGGCAGCTGCCACTCGACCGACATACCGACCACGCCGAGCCGAAGTGATGTTCAAGACAGACTGGGCCTCTTCTAATCTGCAGTTGCGTCACGGAACACTTGTCGAAAGGACAAACTCACATTTGCCAGTGAAATGGACAATGTTACTTCTTATCAATTTGGAAGGCCTTAAATCCGTCCAATGCTCCTCAATTGGCCTTTTATACATTTCATTGTGGCAATCCAGTTGTCAATCCTACGACCGACTAAGCAACATTAAGGTGACCACATTTTTTTAATTTTTCCAATTAAGTATTGTTTTCATGACTACCAGTAAGTCAGTAATATGATATGTATACATCTCGTATTCAAGTTATTTAATGTACTGAATGTGCTGAGAGGGATACAAAGTGAATAATATTTAACTAGCAAAGTAGAATGAAACATTCCTGGAATGTCTCGCTAGGCCGTGTACAAATAGCTCTTCTAAAGCCTGTAACCGGAGGACCATCGAGTGTATGCTCGATGGCCGTGGGGCTGCTAGAAAGCCCGTTGGTGTGGTCACTGTTGGCGAGTGGACATGTGATTTACAAAAAAAGTTGGTAGACTTTCGGCCTGTCCGACCAGCGGAGAGACACCGAAGAGTCTTGGCCTACCTGGACTGTCAGCCGAGAACGCATAGTCGCCGAGGTACTCGACTTTGTCTGAAAGAGAAAAAAAAATGGGTAAGGCATGCTGAAGTTGGACATTTTACAGGCCCTCGCTCGGCTTTAACGCCGATTAGTCTAACAACCAAGAGGCAGACGACCTTTCTTGCATGTTTCCGGCATGACTACGCCTGATGCCGTATTTCGACGCCTGTTTCGGTGTGTGGTTGTACGAGCAAGCAAGCCGTAAGATGTAGATTAACAATCACCAATTATTCTCCCCACTTGAAGGGAGGGGTATAGAATATGGAGGTATGTATGTGTATGATTTGAAGGTATGGATGTGTGTGGTACAATAACTCCAACCAGATTTGAGGCCAGTCAAGCCTCCACCTCTTGCTCCCAATTTCGTCATGTTCATTCTCTCTCTCTCTTTCTCTTTTTCTTTCTTTCTCTCTCTCTCTCTCTCCCTAAGCCTACTCGAAAGCCGCAAATAATTCCACTCGATTGCCTACTCTCGCCTCTGTAGACTCGCAAATGCTAAAATTTGCATGTAAATACGCTGTATCTTGTTAAAATCTCTTTTGGAACATTCTATTTGATGTCACTTCAGTCACCACGTGTTAGGCCAGTTCGGCTGTGTGGAGTCATACAAAAGAATGGGCGATTTTGTGTCATATAAACCATTCCGGATAGCAGTTGATTGACGTTGTTTTCGCAACTTGGTCACTTTGGCAGGAAGACCCCAGAGGGACGCACCCAGATTGGAGTCGATTGCATGTATGACCATTTGCAAAGTCGGAACGTGGATTTGGTACATTCCCATACGTTTCGCCGGCCTCGTCAGTGGGCCTTGCCATTCTTGGTACCACATTCGGCCACAACTCGCCAAAGAGACAAGTGAAGTCAATCGCTTGACCAACTTTCTGTCGAAACGGTCGTGCCATCAGTCCTCTTTCTGTCCTGCCCCTCAATCCATCTCCTACCCTCCTACCATTACAACTTATGACATGTTTTTATTCCTCAAAAGATGTGCCCTTTTGGCGAATTTCCCGTGACGTCATCACACCTCCTGTTCGCTTTGCTGCCTCCCTTTCAAGTGGCTGATCCTGCTCTAGTCTCCCGTCCGGATCTGCCTCATGGGCGACTGGATCGCTTGACAGATTTCACTCGATTCCAGCATAAGCATCAGCACCAGCCCCATCGTACTTTTACTCCAAGTACTACTTCTCAAGCCTTCAGTAGTCCGTACAAGGTGGCCACATCTGCAAATGTAGTTGTCTATTCGAGCTGACTACTCTCACTGAAAACGTCTGTGCTTCATTTGCGAAACCTCTTCAACCGCTTCCTCCTTGCGATCCTTTTTCTTCTGTCTGGATCACGATAGATCCTTGATCCATGCGTCTCCCTTTTGCTTGTCTTGTTGCATCCCAGTTTTCTTCAAGTATGCTTAGGCAATGGGCAAAGTTATCACTCACTCCAATCTCCTGTTCCATACATTTTTCCCCCAAGAATGTCAATGGACTCCCTAATCTTCCCTTTCTTAGTGCTC